CTCAGTTTGGATTGCTATAACAAAATACCACAGGCTAGGTGGTTTAAACAACAGAAATTAATTTCTCACAGATCTGGGGACTGAAAGTCCAATATCAAAGGCACTGGCAGTCTGGTATCTGCTGAAGGCTCTTTCTGATTTGCAGATGGCAGTTTTCCATTTTATTTCTTCTTTTTAGTGATAAGGTCTTATCATGCCTAGGCTGGTCTCGAACTCCTGGACTCAAAGCAATCCTAATGCCTTGACCTTCCAGTGCTGGGATTACAGGCGTCAGCCACTGCACCCAGCTTGAAAGATGGCAATTTTCTCGTATGATCACACAGCAGAAAGAGACCTCACTCTAGTTCCTTCCTTTTAAGGACTCAGTCTCATCGGGGAGCCCCACCCTCACGACCTCACCTAAGCTTAGTCACCTCCCAAAGGCCCCACCTCCTAATACCACCCTACTGGGGGTCAGGGTTTCAACATATAAACTTTGGGGGGGACACAAACATGCAGTCCTAATACCATCATTACGGAGATGGAGGCCACACACCGACCAACACCCATACCCTCAAGGGCACTGGTGGGGACAGAGGGGTCTCACCCAGCACTGCCATGAGGCAGAAGTTCTCCAACATTATGTCTCTGTAGAGGCCTCCAGGCAGCACTTAGGAATTGCCAGCTCCTCTGGTGAGGTCACTACCACATCCTCAGGGCCCACAGCCTCCTGAAACAACAGAACTTTGCTGCTTCGTGGAGGAGTGTCCATATGTCCACACCATAGGGGTGTGGTCACTTCCCTCTGCCAGGGAGAAAGGGGAGGAGAACAGGATTCCTAGTGTATTTCTTCTCTTCAGAACTGACAGCCCATCAAGGTACAATGACACAGAAAAAGGCTGGCCAGGTGCCAAGTCCTGGCTCACACGTGGCAGCTCCTCCCACTGAGTCTCATGGCCACCCCAGAGGACAGGCCTTCCTTTCACACACATCAGAAATAGGGACCCCAAGACCTCGAGAGGGGAAATGGGCCCAGGGACACGCCTTGGCTTGGAGTGGCTTAGGACCAGGGAAAGACACCTGACCCCAGAGCAGTCCACCCTCTGACACTGGGCAACACATTCCCTGCTCTGGACCTCAGTTCCTTTGGCTGCTAAGGAGGCCCAACAATCCTGGCCTGTGTGGGACGGGACTGCCTACAGACATAGACGGCCTTTGAGCACCTCGTATCTCGCTTCCCAGCCAGCCTGGGTGTGGAGATGGCCATGCTGACAGGTTCCCTGAGAGAGGGTCCAGCCATGGCCAGTGGGCCTCCGAGGATTGGCCGCTGGGTGCAGGGCCTGAGCAGGGAGGCCATCATGCTGCCTTTGAGACCAGGACCCAGCAGGGGCCATGCCTAGATTCAGAGGCTCAGGACCACCACGGAACTGAAATGAGGTTCAAGGCCTCACACAAGAGTGGCCCCTAAAAAGGCTGGTAAAGGAGTGTTTTCACCTCTGTTTACAGTTGAGGGCACTGCTCAAGGTCATGCAGCTGGTGAATGGCAGGCAGTGAGCAGTGAACATGAGGCTGGTCACCAGGAGCAGGTAGCCGTGGGTCTCCCTCTGCCCTCAGCAACTTCACACCTGCCCCTCCCTGGACCCCAGTCTCATATTTAAACAGGAGTGACCCCACCTCATTTCATGTTATCATCACTGCCCTGCAAGGGAAACAACAGATGTGTAAGGTCTGAGGGTCCATGTGTGGAAGCAGACACCAGAGCCGAGTCCACACGGGCAAAGGAGCGGGCGTGCAGGGCCGGGAGCTGGGGCTCACCTGGGAGGCTGGTGGCTGCAGCTCCTGACCCTGCAGACAGCCAGGCCTGGGGTCTACAGGAGCTGGACAGGGAAGAGGACAAACAAGGCCTCACAGGTCCATTCTCCCCAGCCTCCCAGCAGGCAGCTGAGCCCAGCGCAGTGCCTGAGAGCTCAGCCCTTGTCAAGGAGAGTCCTCGAACCCAGAGGCGGCAGCGGAAGTGCAGAAGCCCTGCCCAGGCCCTGTCTCCCAGCCCACCGCCCACCCTCACGGCTGCCACACCCATCAGCCACCCCTCACGGCTGCCACACCCACCAGCCCGTGACTGTCCACATCCTGACCCCTACCTCATGACCTCCCCAACTCTGATCTCCACACCTGACCCCAAAGCACATTTTATTATTATTTTTATTAGAGAGAAGGCCTCTCACTCTGTCACCCAGGCTGGAGTGCAGAGGCCATAACTCACTGCAGCCTCGAACTCCTGGGCTTGGGGATCCTCCTGCCTCGGCCTCCTGAGTAGCTGGGGTTACAGGCAACCACCACCACCACACCTAGCTCATTTTCTTTTATTTTCTGTAGAGATGGGGTCTCCCTATGTTGCCCAGGCTGGTTTCAGACTCCTGAAGTAACGTGATCCTCCTGCCTTGGCGTTCCAGAGCGCTGGGATTTCAGGCAGAAGCCACCACCCCTGGCCCCCCATAAGCACATGTATGTGGGGTGAGGTGAGGTCCCTGAGGTGCAGTGTGGATGGGTCTTGATTTGTCCCAAGTTTGGCTGCCTTGTGCCACAGCCTCCCAAGAAAGGATGCAGTCCACACCTTCTGCAAATCCCTGCCTCGAACCCTGTCCCTCCGGAAGCACATCCAGCCACCGGGACCCTGAACCTCCTCCAAATGGACTTTAACTGGGGACAACTGATGACAGTCCTCCAAAACCCTGTCCCTCCGGAAGCACATCCAGCCACCGGGACCCTGAACCTCCTCCAAACTGAGGACAACTGATGACAGTCCTCCAACCCCAGGGAGCTGAGGAAGCCATGAGCAGGGGCTGCGACTTCCTTTCTTCCAGTCAACCTACCACTAGCAATCACTCATTCGGCCCGCTGGATAAGAACAGTGGCCTGCAGACGGGCCCAGGGCAAGGTCCGCTCTAGATCCTCCCATGCAGGAGGCAGACAACCTTCAGCACAGCGTGCCGGGGGTGCCCACAGAGATCCAGGCTGGCACAGGCAGGACAGGTGTTCTGTAAACCAATCCAAGGTAGAAGGGGCTGAAAGACCACCTACCAATCCCAATCCCTGAAGTCACCATGCCACCCTGAAAGTATGGCCTCTCCTGGGCACCCTGAGGGATGGGAGCTCCCAGAGTGGAGGCTGCCTGTCCCAACTGAGGACAAAGGAGTGCCTTCAGGCCTGAGCCCTCAGGGGCACCACCAGAGAAGAATGTGGTGGTACAAAGAGGTTCGTTCTACTAGCAGGCTGGAAGCAGCCACGGAGGTCCCAAACCAGATGTCGCAGCACCCGCTGCCCCAGTAGCCACTGGAGAACTGAGGCCATGACCTGTAGGGGCACGGTGAGAAGACAAGGAGTGGCTCCAGCCCCGTGTTCACAGATAAAAGGGAGAGGCATTTAAACGGGACCAGAGACTTGCACGCTCTGCTCTGGCAAGCTCCAGGGCTTCCCAGGGGCCTCAGCAGCCCCAGAAACGGAGTGAGGAGACACAGCCTCACAGGGCTGTGCTGTGGTGTCTGGTGCAGCGGGGATCCACGTGAGAGGGCTTGGGGAACAAGATTCTGAGGCTAAAACATTCCACCACTTGAGCTTCTGAGACTGGTCAGGAAGTGAAAACAAAGTGTTCGGAGGAAACAGCAGTCTCCACAAAGCGTTCCGGGGGACAGGATGGAGGCAGGAAGTATTCAGCAGGCAGCTGGGCCCAGCAGCGCAGAGATGAGTAAGCTCTGGGCTCCCTAAAAACCTCACTCCAGGGAGACCCGCAGCAGCAAGCCCAGGTGAGGAGGGGCTGCAGGAGGAGCAGGACCCAAGTCCCCTGGGTGGCACAAGGGATTCCAGCCACAGGGGCTGTGCCTAGAGTCAGGTTCCAAGCCTTGTTGCAGTTAGTCTCAAAGAGGGGCACCCTGAGGACACAGCCACTCACTGGGGACAAATGTCTACCCATGAGCCCAGCACAGTCAGCACAGAAGCAGGTCAAGAGCGGGAAGAGCTCAGGTCCTGAAGAGCTACAGTCTGACAGGGACAAGCCATCTCCAGAGGATTCAGGAGAGCCAGCCAGGAGCTCGGCAGGCCTGCCCCGTGCCCTCCTCAGCTCCACCCACCCAGGATGTCCTGCTGCTTCAGAGCCCTCGAGACATGTTCTAACCTCCTGCGTTGCCTCAAGCAGCCGCAATCCAGCAATCTTGGTTATGAGGCTCTGCTAGGAGTGACACGTGAGCCCAGAAATGGCACGAAGTACACGGATGTGCAGAAGTTCCCCAGACACAGGAAGCAAACAGTGGGGGTGACACCACGAAGGCAACGGGACCCCAATGGGAACAACTGGGACTGTCATTCAGCACCGAGATCTTTAGAAACTATTTGGCTTTTGTAACCATCACACATGCATTCAAAGCAAGAAACACACACTCCCAAGACATAGGCAGGGCTCTGTCAGCAATGACTTTTGCCCCTGTATCGGCAGAGATGTGAAAATACAAGAAACCACAGCGAGCCAAATCCTCTCCCTCATGAGAACAAAGGTTTCAGTGGAATCAACAGCAGACGCTGGAATGCAAACTACGTGCTGACTCAGCCAAATGATACAAATTTAAGAGGGGAAAAGAATTCAAGAGCAAAGCACTGAAAATAACATAGCAAGAAAAACCCATTTAGGCCGAGTGCCGGGGCTCACGCCTGTAATCCCAGCACTGTGGGAGGCTGAGGAGGGAGGATCGCTTGAGGCCAAGAGTTCAGACTAGCCTCGGCAACACAGTGAGACTCTGTCTCTACAAAAAAATTAAAAGGTAGGCGTCACAGTGCACGCCTCTAGTCCCAGGTACTCAGGAGGCTGGGGTGGGAGGATCACTCAAGCCAGGGAGGTCGAGGCTGCAGTGAGCTGTGATCACACCACTTCACTCCAGCCTGGTCAACAGAGTGAGACCCTGCCTCAAGAATGAAAAAAAAGAACAATGCACCTATTTCATGCTCGCTCAAAGACGAGGCTAATCACTGTGGACACAGGGCATTCTGGAATTTCAGCTGCAGGAAGCGAGTGCTGCCCGTGAAATGGAGATGCTGCAAAGCAGCTGCAGACGTGGAGAAAATCACCACATCCTCTTACAACCGCATCTGTGAACACTGACCAGGACAGACAACTCCTCCCCAAGGTATTACTAACGTGCTAACAGCTGGGGATAAGAGCACAAATATAATTGCTGGAAATCTAAGCAACCTGTTTTACTGTTTCCAGTGACTTACGTGCAAACCTAAGACTAATCTCTGAACGCCTGATCAAGACGTATTCATGTAAAGGCCGTAAGTATGAAATTCTGGGCAACATGGCACATTGCACTCTGAGCCAAAATGCCAAAATACCACGCAGGGTCTGTGTCCTGTATCCGGGTGATGAGCAGGGCCTGGTCAGCCACTCCTACTTTCTTCACGGAAAGAAACTCTACCAAGTCAACTCTCCGTGGGGCCCCCCACATCCTGGGGCCAGAGCCCATGGGATGGGATCTGCGGGTAACAGAGGATGGTTCCAGTCATTCTGCTGAACGAGGCCACGACTGAAGTGAGACGTGCGGCCTCTTCAGCCGAGAGCAGGCCAAGAACTGAGTCCCAGCTCTCGGCCATTGGCCCTCAGGCATCGTGCCGGGGTCCACCCAACAAGGGGATGGCCGCCAGCCCAGCAGATAGAGCCTTCTGAGACGAAGCTTGTCCAGGGGCGGTGGGCATGGCCTCCTGTTGGCCTGGAGGGCAACTTCTCTCCACATGGACAGACAGACATCTCCACCCTCTGATACTGCAATGATCAGCCAGCGAACACGAGGCCAGATCAGCCCCGCATGGCCCCCATTCCAGCCAGAGTGAGGCTCTGGCTTGTTCTAGGCTAGGGTGGACCCTTCCAAAACATTTCCTCACTTTCGGATGACATGGCAAGTGATAAAACCTGTATCGACAGGAACCTCGGGCACAGACTGTCCTGAGCACCCGAGCCACACTGTGGGCGACCCGCTCCTGGAAGGGCTCTTGAGTGTCTGCACACGCCCTCCTGCCTCAGGTGGGGTCGGGGCACAGGACCATGCCACTCCAGGGTGCAGTGGCCAGGACAGGGCAGAGAAGCCATCAGTTGTCACCTGCTGTGGATGAGCAGGGCAAGGGAGAGTGAGCCGTGGCCCCGCAGCCACCAGGGCCCTCCTGGAGGGCTTCAACCTTGACCACAGCCCCGAGGGCGCCACGCCACCTCCTCACCTGCTGCTGGCTCCGGAACACGGCACGCAGCGCTCGCAGCTGCCCCACTTCCTGTGCACTGAAGCACGGCTGCCGCTCCGCAAAGCGCAGGACCGCATCGAAGGCCACGGCTGCCTGCTCCCAAGCCGCCTCCTCACCCTCACCAGGATCTCCTCCACCGTCTTGGTCAGCTTTCGGAGTCTTTTCTGAACCCCACACAACCTCTGCTGGCAACGTGGCAGCAGGGGGTTGTCCCCCTTCTGCCTCCCTTCCTGCTACACCCCAGCCGGCGGCCTGGCACTGGCAAAGCTGGCCCGGGCAGGAGGAGCCTTCCTTCACAAGCTCCAGGATGTGCGCAAAGGATGTGTTGTGGGGCTTCGCTTGGAAGTGCTCTGCCTCCACCTCCTCCTCAGAGGAGGAGCCTTCAGCAAACACAACTGATGGCCACAGCTTCCTCCAGGCCCGCCTGAAGACGTGACCGGGAATTGCGTTCCAGGCACAGGCCATGCTGAATATGGCATCATTCATATTGTAGCGGGCGTGAGGGCCCTGGAGGGGGGTCGGAGGGCTAATGAAGTTCCTCATGAAGTCTCTCCAAATGCCCTGCTCCATGGGCTGCACCAATGAGGCCACGCTGGCAGGCAGGAAGATGGTGAAAACGTTACTGGACACCAGCTCGGCCTCCTGCGGGTGAGCCCGGGAGCTGTCCAGCAAGAGAACGGCCTTGCTGTCTTCCGGCAAACCTATGGTTCTGAAGTGCTCTCTCACCGAGGGCACAAAGATATGATGGAACCAATCGGAAAAAATCTCCTTGTCCACCCAGGCGCTCCCCTGGGCCTTATAGGCGACAGGCAGGTGCTGGATGCCTTTGAAAGCCCTGGGGCCGCTGCATTTCCCGACGGCCAAGGGCTTGAGCCTGTGGGAGCCTGTGGCGTTGGCACACATCAGCACGGTCAGCCGGTCCTTGCTCTGCTTGAGGCCAGGCACGGCCCCGCCTTCTGGAGTGGGATTTGGCAGGCACCGCCAGAAAAGGCCGGTCTCATCAGCGTTGTAAACCTGCTCGGGGGACAGCCCGTGCTCGGCAGCCAAGCTCCTGAAAAACCCACAGAACTGCTCCGTGGCCTGGTGGTCGGCTGCCTGCTTCTCACTGGATGCATCTAGCTTTTTAATGCCGTGTCTGGCCTTAAAGCGCCAAAGCCACCCTCCAGAGAACACACAGGGCTCAGTGAGCTGCATCTGCTCGTAGAAGTCCTTGGCCTTCTCGATGAGCATGGGGCCTGACACAGGGACGCCCTCGGAACGCTTCCCCAGGAACCACTCGTACAGGACGCGGTCCAGGTGCTCCAGCTTGGGCGTGTGCAGCGTGCGCCGCTGCTCCAGTGCCTTGTTGGAGTCCGAGCTGGCGAAGAACCGAAGCAGCTGTGCCTTGTGGGCCCTGATGTCGTAGAGGGTGGACATGCCCACGTTGTACTCCTGCATCAGTGCCTTCCGGCTCTCGCCCTTCTCCAGGCGCGTACAGATGTCAATCTTCTCCTTCAGCGTCAGCACCACCCTCTTCCGCTTCTCCCCTCCGCTCTTCCCGGCAGCCGGCTTGGAGGCCATGGGGAGGGGTAGCTGGTCCTAGCACTTGCAGGACACACGCCTGGCCTGGGCTGCTGCCACTACTCCCCCTCCTCCTGCTCCCCTTCCAGGGCTCCGTCTCTCCCTCTCCACTCTGCCTGCCTGATCCTGAGCACAGGCCCCAGTCCGTCTCGGGTTCCCCACTCCATACGCTGCACCTCCTGCCTCAGGTGTCCCTGGTCTTCCAGGCTCCACACACCCAAGCCTTGGCTCCTGGCAGTGCAGTCAGCTGCCAGTTCTCTCTGTGGAGGAGGTGACCCTGTCAGACTCCCCTCTGCTGCTCCACACGACCGGAACCCCGGCCTCAGTGGATACTGTGGTAGCAGCTCCCCTCAAACTGACCAGGTCTGGGGTGGTCGAGGTTTTACCGCATAAGCTGCAGGGTGCCTCTCCAGGGTCCACGATGGTATCTCCAGGCACAGCACTTCAGGGGCTGGAAAGCAGAGGGAAGAGAGAGCAAAGTGATGGGGCTCGCCCGGGACACACCTGGCATCCTCACGACTCTATCCTCACTGGGACGCCCCAGCTGAAATGCGAGTGCTACTGAGAGGAGCCACACAAGCGCTAGCACGCAGTGCGGGGAGGGCAGCCCCGGGAGCGGCCCAGCCCTGCCCAGCTCCTGGGTGTGCTGCTCAGGTGGACTCTGCCCCACTCCCACCAAGCAAACGGAAGCCATTAGCTAGGGCTAGAAACGAGACGTGGCTCTCATAGGAGTAGCCCGGCCTTTCCTGGGGAAGCGCTCAGGCAGAAGCCATCAGAGGAAGCCAGGAAGTCCGACGCTGGGCAGACCCAAGAACAAACCTCCCACCCGCCCGGACCCGGACTAAGCTTCTTGCTGTAACTGCTCGCTGGGCTGCCTGAGCTGGCCATCTTCTCAAATCCCTTATTCCTCCCTGAGGAGCAGAGGCAGGGGTGGAGGGATGCAGGGAGGAGGAATTCCTCATTACCCTCCCCGCCGAAGATCTTACAAACCCCTCTGCAGCAGGTCTCTAAACTCCTCTAACACAGAGCCCCAAACTGCCTCTAGAAAACGGGGCATTGGAAGTTTCTCTACAACAGCAGGCCTCAAGATCCTCCAAGGGCTAGGAGGTACTGCCAGTTACTCAATCACCCTCTGACCTCCCTGACCACACACACTCAGATGCCTCTACCGGGAGCCTCAGCAGACAGACAGCTGTGACCACTCCAGGCCCCTTTGAGGGAGCTCTCCTCAAGCTCAGCTCAGGGTACCCTGCCCCAGGCAGCCACACTGGGCCGCCAGTCTTTGAAACCCCAGGCTCTAGTGCTGCCCGTCCACCTGACTCCACAACCACGGCAGGGCCGCAGAGCCTGCCAGACACGGACACACACACAACCACTCACCCTCACTCACACATACACGCTCAGAGGACACAGGAACAAGCTAGTCCAGAGCAGGAACTTCTTCAGCATTTGCTAATTTGGGAGGCTCTATGAACAAATGACTAATTCACACCAGAAGCAAATGCCAGGACACCTGATGGCCCGCTGGGAGCAAGGGCTCTTCCTGGGCCAGTTGTGTACCCTATGAGAAGCTTTGCTTTTTTTTTTTTTTTTTTGAGGCGGAGTTTCGCTCTGTCTCCCAGACTGGAGTGCAGTGGCCGGATCTCAGCTCACTGCAAGCTCCGCCTCCCGGGTTTACGCCATTCTCCTGCCTCAGCCTCCCGAGTAGCTGGGACTACAGGCGCCCGCCACCTCGCCCGGCTAGTTTTTTTTGTATTTTTTAGTAGAGACGGGGTTTCACAATGTTAGCCAGGATGGTCTCAATCTCCTGACCTCGTGATCCGCCCGTCTCGGCCTCCCAAAGTGCTGGGATTACAGGCTTGAGCCACCGCGCCCGGCCAGAAGCTTTGCTTTTAAGTTTCATACGCACTTTTGACCAATATGAAGAAAAACGACAGAGAAACGTCGCAGCTCTAATCAAACACATCTTTCTGTTGGAGTTTTGAAGTATCTTCTCACCCTTCTACATAAAGAGGATGTGGGTCATTCTCATCCCTTCTAGGTGGACAATTCCATCCTCTCCTAACAAATCTGCGAAACACCCCACACCCCTCCCTACACCTGAGCCCACTGGAAGGGCACAGAGGGCACACCCCTGTGAGGCCAGGGCAGCCTATGGAGTCAGGGCCTGCAATGCACTTCACCCAGTAAGACACTGGTGAGGGCTGAGAAGCTATTTGCCCCAACACCGGGCAGCTGAGCTGGCCGGCTCAGTGTGGCGTGCGTGCAGGCCTGGGGTCTCCCTCCCCTCACTCCTCCGCAGGTCAGCAGTACTTGAGGATGGACTCCTGGAGTTCCTACCTCCCTCCTGCGCCCTTGCCATAGCTGCTTCTGCCAACTCCATGCAGAGCATGTGGTGGCGTGCAGAAACGCAGCCCTTTGAGGCCAGAGCTCAAGAGAAATGAGGAGTGCAATCAAATGCAGCAAAAGCTCCAAAGACAAGTTCTAGGCTTGTTGGCCGCCACCTCTGGATGAGTCCTGTCCTCTTCCGGAGTCAGTTTCCTGGTCTGCAAAATGTGGGCTGGTCCCTTAAGGATCCTGCATCGTTCGCTGAGGGTGACGGTGTGACGTGTGTGTCGTCTGGCACAGCACAGTGAGCTATGTGCATCTCACCGTGGGGAACAGGAGGGATGGCAAAGCCACAATCCGCCCTCGAGATTTTTAATATGAACCCGCTGCAGAAAAACTGGGGGAGACACCGAATCCCACCGTAGCCTGTGAGGGACTAACTGGGGACTGGGATGCCAGGAAAAGTTTCCTGGAGGAGACTCAGCACCAGACACGGGCTCCTTGTGGACACGTCTCCGTGCCTGAAGTGCAGGTGCGGCAGGATGACACAAAGTGGCTGAATTTGTTTCATAAGGAAATCTCTGAATTTTATTTTTAAAGGAAGTTTTTGGTCTTGCAAGTGGGACAGCAGTGTGTTCCAGCACTTTGTGTTATCCTGCCACACCTGCAGCTCACGTATGGAGACGTGTCCACAAGGGGCCCGTGTCTGGTGCTGAGTCTCCTCCAGGAAGCTTTTCCCGGCATCCCAGTTCCGAGTCAGTCCCTCACAAGCTACTGTGGGATTCCGTGTCTCCCCGAAATGAGGGTGGTTTCTTGCCTTGCGACTGGAGAGGAAGCACAGAACCCGGAGGTCACGTGAACACGGGATGAAACATGGAATTCTCCTGTGCCCAAGGCACAGACAAGAAACGGGAGGCCTGGCCGGGCGCGGTGGCTCACGCCTGTAATCCCAGCACTTTGGGAGGCCGAGGCGGGCGGATCACAAGGTCAGGAGATCGAGACCACGGTGAAACCCCGTCTCTACTAAAAATACAAAAAATTAGCCGGGCGCGGTTGTGGTCGCCTGTGGTCCCAGCTACTCGGGAGGCTGAGGCAGGAGAATGGCGTGAACCCGGGAGGCGGAGCTTGCAGTGAGCCGAGATCGCGCCACTGCACTCCAGCCTGGGCGACAGAGCGAGACTCCGTCTCAAAAAAAAAAAGAAAAGAAACGGGAGGCCTAAGGGGTCAGCGCTGGGGCCGACTCCGTCCTGTGTGAGGGGAAGAAGACCTGAGAAACGCGGGGGGAAAGTGGAAAACAACCTTCGCACGGGCATCGTGTGTGTGTGCGCGCGCGCGTGTTGGGGATGGGGGGTATGGAGGATATGAAAGAGAAATACTCAAAAAACAAGTCGCATTCTGGGGCCGGGGGAAGAGGTGAACTGGGGGGTCAGAAGAGGAGTATGGGACAGAAAAAGATGGGACAGAAAGCCTGGGGCCGTGCGCCCCGCAGAGCGCGCCCAGGAGCCAGCGCCGAGTTCCGCTAGGAGCGCTCCACGCTGGGGGATCCTGGCGCAGGAGACAGCACTGAGGTACCGGCGAGGCTCGCTTAAAACGCACCTCTACCCCAGGGTCCCCGTTTGCGGGTAGAAATTCAGTCTGGGGCAAGAGCAAAAACGAAAATGGAGAAAAAAAGAAAAAAAAAAGTCTCGGTCTGGTTTTTTAAGGGCAAGCGGATCTCGTGACCAAGCCTCTCTGAAAGTGGAAGCGCAGGAAGGGTCCGGGCTGGGGCGTCAAGGCCAGGCCCTGCGGCGAGAGGTGGGTTCGGCTCCGGGGCCGCGCGCTCAGGCCGCGGGGGTCGCGCGGGAAACACAGGGCTTCGGGTTCCGAGCGCGGCTCCCGGGAGGGGGCGCTGCCGCCCGCGGCTGGGTCCGGCCCCGAGGCCTCGCGACCAGCCCCGCCCCGCGCGCCCGCCTGCACAGACTGCGGCTCCCACCCGCGCCCAGCAGTGACCGGAGTCCGCCCGAGCCCACCCGGCCCGGCCGGGCCGCCCAGCGCCTCAAGACAGTACCCTACTCACCCTGCTCACCCGGAGCAGCCACCGCCGGCCGGAAGTGCCGGCCACTCAGTTCTCCTCCAGTCCGCGCCTCGTCGCCTTCCACCAGCTACTTCCGGTACGCTCTAGACAGGCTGGAGGACTCGGCGCTCAGTGGTGTCTGGGAGCCAGACTCCGGCTTTCCCAGAGCTGGGTGGTAACGGAGGGCCTGGGAGGGCAGGAGGCCTGGCGGGGAGGGGAGGAGTGGGAGTCCCAGGGTTGGGGGAGGCGTAGGAGGGGAGAAGCGCGGACAGGGAGGGGAGAGGGGAAACGGGGCCGGGGTGGGCCGCGCGGGCTGGACCCAGGCTCCGAGCTGCTCTCTCCATCTGTAGAATGGGCGCAGGGTGTCACGTTCCTTTCATGACCAGTGACCCCTGCGCTGAAGGCGTTGGGGCTCCTGCAGTTCTGGGGCAGCCACAGGCGCCCAGGGTTTCGTGCCGCCCCGCCCAGGACAGCCTTCCCGGTGCAGTTTCTGATGCGGGGAGGGCAGTGCTGCCTTCCAGTCACCAGGACCAGTGCTCAGCCCGCCTGCTTGACCCCCTTACTTAGCTGGGGCCCAATCCATACCCAATTTAGATGATTCAGATGATGGAATTTGAAACTTTTGAACTGGGTGCGACTTAAGTGAACGTGCACCTGAGTTGATGCTGTGATAAGTCAAGGCTGCGGAGGACCTTGAGATGGGTGCATGCATTTTGCCCATGAGACCTATGCGAATCTTTGGAAACTGGAGGGTGGACTGTGGTGGGCAGAATAATGGCCCTCCAAGGATGTCCACATCCTAACCTCCAGCTCCTGTGAATACATTACTTACATGGCAAAAGGGACGTTGCAAATGCAATGAAGTTAAGATTCTTTAGATGGGGAGATTCTTGTGTTTATCAGGGTGAGCCCAGTGTGCAGTCATCCCTGGGTATCCATAGAGGACTGGCTCCAGCACCTCTCAAGGACGCCAGAATCCTTGATGCTCAAATCTCTTACATAAAATGGCTTAATATTTGCATATAACCTACACACATCTTCCTGTATACTTTAAGTCACCTCTGGATTACTTATAATACCTAATACAATGTAAGCGCTATGTAGATAGTTGTTATACAGTATTGTTCAGCGAATGGTGACAAGAGAAAAGTTTGTACATGTTCAGTACAGACACAGGTTTTTTTTTCTGAATCATTTGTATCCTTGGTTGTTTCAATCTGGATGGAGAGCCCACAAGTACAGATAGGAGGGCAGGCGCCATCACAGGGGTTCTTGTGGGGGTTAGGAAGCCAAGTGAGAGGACAATGGGATGAAAGCAGAGAGAAAAGGAAATGTGACAACCGACACAGGGGTTGGAGTGATGTCCTTTGAAGATGGAGGAAGGGGCCACAAGCCAAGGACTATGAGCAGCTTCTAGAGGCTGGGAGAGACAAGGAATCAAGGCCTCTCCTGGAGCCAACAGAAGGAATGCAGCCTGCTGACCCCTTGATCTTAGCCCATAACACTCATCGTCCCATTAGACTTCTGACCCCCAGAGCTGTAAGATATAAATTTGTATTGTTTTGGATCACCATGTTTATGGTAATTTGTTAGGACAGCAGTAAGAAACAAACACAGATTTGGGTAGCTCACTCCTCCTTTTTCCTTTTTTGAGGCAGGGTCTCTCTGTTGCCCAGGCTGGAGTGCAGTGGTACATTCTCCTCACCGCAGCTCCAACCTCCTGGGCTCAAGGGATCCTCCTGCCTCAGCCCCAGAGTATCTGGAACTACAAGCATGCACCATCTCACCTGTCTTTAATTTTTTGTAGAAATGGGGTCTAGCTGTGCTGCCTCGGCTGGTCTTGAGCTTGTGGACTCAAGCGATCCCAAAGTGCTGGAATTCCAGGCACGAGCCCATGTGACAGCTCACTCATCCTTAGCTCAGTTGTTCCCTGGGCTCCCAGGCCCCTCCCACCCTCTGGGTCTTCTCTTCCTCACCCTCCATTGCTGGTTCCTTACTGACCAGGCCATTCTTTGGCTCTTTTTGTTCAACCAATCCCCACTCCCTGGGTGATCTCCTCTGGTGTCATGCTGTTAAATACCATCCAACACTGTCAACGACCAAATTCATGTCTCCTGCCAGGGCCTCTCCCCAGAAATCCAGACTCCTGTGTGCTACCCAATGTCTCTGCTTAACTTTGATCCTCCAGCCCAGCTTTGCTCCGTCTGCATTGCCCCCACCTTCATGAATGGCAGCTCACCTTGCTGTTCACTCAGGCTAAGCCTCAACAGTCTCCATCCCTCATATCCAGATCCTCTACCCTCAAAATCCAGTCAGTGTTTGGCCTCTTCTCACTCCCTCCAACTTCCCTCTGCCATCCACACCTCTGTGGTCTTGCCTCCTCCCCAGTCTCCGTGTCTGCCCTTACCCCCATACAGCTATCAACTGCTGCATCAGAAACCACCCAAAACTTAGTAGCTTGAAACCAACTGTGTTTATTGCACATGATTCTATGGGGCAGGAATTTGGCCGTGCTAGAGTCAGATGTGTTTCACAGAGGAGGAGGCTGAGTCACGGAGCATACCAGGCACATGGCGGGACTAGAACCCAAGGTCACTGGACTGGGGCTCCCATGGCAGGGTCTCCTGGGACAGCGAAGTCCTCCATCCCTGGGAAAGCTGGCTCCATCCCTGGTGTGACTCTGCTGCTGAGGCAGCATCATTGTCTGGGGTAAATACCTGGGGTTCATCATCTCATGCCAAGAAGATTAAGGACATGGACTTGTGGATGGCTTAAGGAGCAGAAAGTTTAATAGACAGAAAAAAGGAGAGGAGAGCAGCCCTCTCTTTCAAAAGAGAGGCGTCCAAAAGAGAAAAGCCGGCCTGCAGCAGACCCCTGCAGATTGTATAGGCCGACTTGAGGAGGCAGTTCTGATTTATGAAGGGCCTACAGGTTGGTATGACCAAGGGTGATATTTACATATGGCGTGGGGAAGGCCGGTCACCCCACCATAATCTTATTATGCAAATGGGCTTTCTACCTGGCCAGCACCATCTTGCCTGCTCCCTACTGTACACATGGCTGGCAAAGAGAAGGGAAGATGGAGCTGCCATTTTGATCATGCCTAGTCTCAGGTAGCTTTTTCCTATTGGCACAGCTGCTGGCATTCACCCGTGCAAGCTTCCAGCTTGCTTGTCTTATGTTTGCAGCTCGATTTTATAGGCTGCTCTTTATTAGAAAAGAAAATGATTTGGGGGCTGCTTTCCATTAAAAGGAACACCTTACTGAGGACTTCCTTACCCTCACTATCTGCCTAAATAATTTATTTTTAGCTCCTCTATCACCCTCACCTCAGGGACATGGAATCACGTGGTCTCCCAGGACTTGGACGGTGCTGGTGGGCAGTGGGGATGGGGCCTGATCCCAAGATGCATCCATTCTGACACTGGGAGGGGTCAGAAAGAAAGGAAGAGAAGGAAGAAAATACACTAGTGTGTAATCACCCAGTGGGTTCATTTTGACCCCTGGCAGGATAGAACTGATTTATCAAGACAGGGGAAATGCAATAGAGAAAGAGTTTAATTCATGCAGAGCCAGCTGAATGGGAGACCGGAGTTTTATTATTACTCAAATCAGCCTCTCAGAAAATTCGGACACTGGGGTTTTTCAAGGAGAGTTTGGTGAACCAGGGAATGGGTGCTGCTGGTTGGTTGGGGGTGTGGAAAGTGGTCCCCTGTGCACTGAGTTTGCGTCCAGGTGGGGCCACGGGACCAGCTGCTGGGTTGGTGGACCTCGTTAGAGCCACCCAACAGTCATTAGGCATGCAACAACCTGAAACGGCATCTCAAAAGGTCAATCTTAGGATCACAATAGTGATGTTACTTGCAGGAGTAATTGGGGGAGTTGCAAATCTTGTGGCCCCTGGAATAATGGCTAGGAATCATTTAAGTCTACACCTCAGCAGAACTCAGACTCCCTTCATCTTCCTAATGCAATGGTGGCCTTTCATTAGCTTTACAAACATGGCTGAGTTTTGGGAAAGGGCTATTATGCCCAGAAATGGCTAAGGGCAGTGTGGAGGTTAAAGGCAAGTTGGGGGTTGGTTAGATCAGATCTCCTTCACTGTCATCATTTTCTCACTGTTGTAACTTTTACAAAGGCAGTTTCCAGTGTCTCCTGGGGGCTGGCACTGAGGACTACCTTCCCCCAGCCATGCCCCAAGTTCACAGAGCAGAGCCCCCAGACCATGCCTGGGCCACTGCACCATTCTCCTTCCCCACTGGGTTCCCCATCTCCACCCACAGTCAGAGTGGCCTTTGACAGGGCCAGTCACTCCCCCTGCCCAAATAAGCCGGTGCATTCTGAATACAGCCCAGGTCCTCACTGGGCCCGGAGCTAACCCCTTACTGTCCTCTCCCAAGCCCATGGGCCATCCCCTGTGCCTGCTATTCCCTCTGCCTGGAGGTGGGCCTGTACCCAGCAGTGTCCTTTGCTCAGTTTCCGGAGTCCTCAGGTGGGGGCAGTCCCAGCCAGCCCTCCCTCTGGAGGTCTCTGGATGACAGGCCTCCCACAGCAGAGGTGGCTGGGAGGGGGGGGTGCTGGTGAGGCTGTGCCCAGCTGGAAGGGAAGGGTGTGCCTTGGGTCTCCTCCCCAATCTGAGTTCACTCCAGGAAGGGGGAGTGGCACAAGTGGAGGGTGCAGAGCAGTGGGGGCGGTTCTGAGGGTCATTGGAGGCCAAGGGTCCTGGCTGGTGGGACAGGGGTTGGAGCAGTACCCATCTCCACCTTGGTGCCCAGACAGGAGGGGAGCTGGTTTGAGGCAGGGCCCTGATGGCACCTTTGTGAAAGCCAGGAAAAGGCACCTCCTCTGGGAACACAGGGGCCCTGGCAGAGTTAGAGATGGGGAGGGCCTGTGGGCCCCACCATGGTGGGCTTGGGGGAAAACGCCTCTGAGGGTCTCCAAGCTGCACCCTCAGGACTTGGTGGCCCCAACACACACCCACATTTACACACATGCTTTTGCTCACACAACACACAACCCGTGCACACACCCACACTCACTCGCATTTACACACATGCCACACACTCGCACATTTGATCCACACACACAGACAAGCATCCTCTCTCACACAGCACACACTCCCATGCCCACATGGTTTGCACATATAAACCCTCACAGTTACATATCACACACACACAGCTTGCAAGTCATGGCCTTAATTTCCAGAACCCAAATGGGGGGCTTGGCATTGAGTACCCCCAGCCATCCCATGTGCACCAGCGGATTTTCCTCCTGATCTGCAACGGCGTTTTTCCAAAGAAAAGAATCTACAAACTGACACCAGGATGACTTTGCAAGTGACATGCTAGCTTTATTTTTTTTAATTAATGCTGCATCAAATAAAAAAATTTATACACAGGAATGTGTGTTCCAGCATGGGCTCTGTGGGGCTCCCCGAAGGTGGTGGTGGGACTCCCTGCGAGGTAAGTCGGCTCCCAGAAGCCCCAGGGCCTGGTCTGGCTGCCCTGGCCCCAGCCTCATCCCCTGCACTAGGTGGAAGGCAGGATCTCCAGGAAGCCCAACTGATTTAGGTCCATGGCGGTGGGGTGGGTGGGTGGAAGGCCAAGAGCAAACAGGAAAATCTAGAGTCCTGGGAGGCAACTAGCAGAGCAAAGGAAGGAGGCCAATGGTGAGTCACACTGAAGCCACACTAACCGTTTTTATTGCACAGGATTCTGTGGAGCAGGAATTTGAGCACGCTAGAGTCAGATGTGTTTCAGAGGAGGACGCTGAGTCATGGGGCAAACTAGGCACATGGCAGGACTAGAACCCAGGGCCGCTGGATGGGGGCTCCCGAGGCAGGGTTTCCTGGGACAGCAAAGTCCTCCCAGGAAGGCTGGCTCCATCCCTGGTGTGACTGCTTACCACCTCAGGGACATGGGATCAGGTGGTCTCCCAGGACTTGGGCGGTGCTGGTGGGCAGTGAGGATTGCCATGGAACTGGGGCCTGATCCCCAAGATGCATGGGGCTCCTCCCCAGGTGCTCCTACCATTGCTCAGGGAACCTTGGGCCTCTTCTCAAAGACCAAGTCCATTCTGGCACTGGGGAGGGATCAGAAAGAGAGGAAGAGAAGGAATAAAATACACTAGTGTGTGATCACCCATTGGGTTCATATTGACCCCTGGCAAGATAGAGCCGATTTATGAAGACAGGGGAATTGCAATAGAGGAAGAGTTTAATTCACACAGAGCCAGCTGACCGGAGGACCGGAGTTTTATTATCACTCAAATCAGCCTCTCAGCCCCTGTCCACTGCATGAGGGTCCACAGGAAGCCATGCCCCTTGTGGCAGAACTTCCCAGAAAGGAGAACTGCCAGAAGATGCAGGCTCAGTTCAGGCTCAGGGCCTAGCATTCGGTGTATGGCCAAAGTGTGAATGACAGGGTCAAAAATCAGAGGGTGGCCACAGTCAGGGTTCATTCTGTGACCAGGATCAGGGCTCAGTCAGTGGCCAGGGCCAGGGCTCCGGGTGTGACTAGTCTTATGACTCAAGGTGGGGCCATAACCAGGGCTTGTTAGGTAACCAGGATTAGAGTTCAGACTGACCACAGTGAGGGCTCAGTTTTCGGATGAGGTCAGAACCCAACCTGTGGTTAGGGGTGGGGCTCTAGGAATGCCGTATAGGAGCCGTGACCATGACACCATCCTCAGGCCAGCCACACCCTCAGTGTGGCTGATGTTGGGGCCTGCGAATTCTGTGGTGGGGATCCTGTGTGTTGCCCCCTCATTGGCCTGCACCCACTAGAGGCCAGTAGCACCCCTGAGTTGGAACAAGCAGAGATGCCTCCAGACATCACCAAACATTCCCTGGAGGTACAGAGTCGCCCACGTGAGAACCACTGCCTTACAGCAATCACTGTGTATCAAATCAGATCAACAAACACTTACACACCTGTAAATATTTGAGAACAGAAAGTCCCAGGCTGGTACCTTGAATACAGAGACAGATAAGAAAACTTACTGTGCAGGAGTGGCCAGAGCCCCGGCAAGCTGGGGCTGGGGGCGGAGGGAGGATGGGACAGGGGCTGTCAGCCACACATGGAAGCAGTTCACGACTGTGTGAGGCTCCTTGTCTTGAGCTTACAGGACATGGGCTGGAGGGCATGTCCAGAGAGTGGGCAAGAGTGGGCAAGGAAGGAGTCTGGGGTAGGCCGCAGTCACCCTGCATGGCCTCCAGTAAGTTCCTGTCCCTCTTGGGCTCAGGCTTCTCACTTGCCAGAGAAGAGACAATTTCCGTGGAAAAGAGCTCAACCCAATGAGTTCCAGGGAGCCATGCGGGAGAGGCCCCAAAAGGACAGGGGATGACCTGGAGCCCCCGGGGAAGCCCGAAGGCAGATTCCTGGTGCCACTGAGTCTCAGGGAGGTTGGGTCTTGCATCATCCTTGCTCCCATCAGTAGTGTCACCTTGATCCCAGACTCAAGGCGAGACAGTGGGAAGCTGATGTCCCCCGAACACCCCAGAAAATCTGCCAGCCTTCCCGGATGGTGCAGGCCTGCTGGGCTGGGAGAGGGGCCGATTCCCCAAGACTTCCTCCCGCAACATCCTCACCACCCCCTAAAATGTGCCAGAGCCCTTTTCAGAGGCAAAATCGAGGAGAGGAGGAAACAAAGCCAGACAACCATGAGCTGGGACAGGAGAGCGTCTGGGGAGAAGGAGCCTGTTTCCCACCAGACACCCCATCAACAGGGACGGGAGAGCGTCAGGGGAGAAGGGGCCTGTTTCCCACCAGACACCCCATCAACAGGGGGACGGGGAGAGGCGTCAGGGGGGAGAAGGGGGGCCTGTTTCCCCACCAGACACCCCATCAACAGGGACGGGAGAGCGTCAGGGGAGAAGGGGCCTGTTTCCCACCAGACACCCCATCAACAGGGACGGGAGAGCGTCAGGGGAGAAGGGGCCTGTTTCCCACCAGACACCCCATCAACAGGGACGGGAGAGCGTCAGGGGAGAAGGGGCCTGTTTCCCACCAGACACCCCATCAACAGGGACGGGAGAGCGTCAGGGGAGAAGGGGCCTGCCTCCCTCCAGACACACACTTGGCAGCAGGCAGGGCCACGGCCCACAGTGGACCCACCAGCATCCGGCAGGAACAACAGTATACCCAAGAGGGTTGCGAGGCAGAGTCATCTAACTCAGGCCCCATGTACAAAGGCAGGGGACAGGTTGAAGGAGACAGCAGGGCCACCAGTCCCCCTCAAAATCAGCAGCAGCAGGAAGCCACCGCCCCCATGGGCTTGCAGGAATGAGGGGGAGAGTACAGTGACCAGAGGCTGGCCAGAGCCCTGGGGACAGGAGAAGCCTGGCTGACAGGACGTGGGCCTACTCTAGAAGGCCACAGCCACGGCCACCACCACCCAGCTGGCTGACAGGAGAACCTGGGCCTGCTCTAGAGGGCCAGAGGCACTGCAGCCACCACCCAACCAGCTGGCAGGAGAGCTGGCCTGACCTTGTCTCTTCCACCCTCTCATCTCCTGCCCATGAGAGCTAGACCAGTCTCCCAGGTCATGGAGCAGGAGGGAGAGGGGATCTGGGGCAGACAGAGGCCATACAGCCCTGGGCCTAGCCCCTGCCTCCTGCTATTGCAGAGGCTGCTAAAAGCTGCACTTCCCGACTCCCTTGCAGCTAAAGTTCCAAGCTGAGGGTCACTCACAGTCCTGAGGGTAAAGCTCCTAGCCCAAGGCCCAGCCCACACTGAATGCCCCACAAATGAAGACCTGTCCAACAGGGTCTCCTCCCCAGGGAGGCTGTCCCCTGTGTCAACAAAGAGCCAAACTCTGTAAAATATTTGAAGACATTTATTCTGAGCCAAATATGAGGGACCCTGGCCTGTGACACAGCCCCCAGGAGACCCTGAGAACATGTGCCCAAAGTGGTCAGGGCACAGCTTGATGTTATCCGTTTTAGGGAAACATGAGACATCAGTCAAATACATTGAAGACATACATTGGTTTGGTCCAAAAAGGTGGGCAACTGGAACTGGGGGCTTCCAGGTTATAGGTGAATTTAAATATTTTCTGGTTGGGAATTGGTTGCAAGAGTTATCAATAGAAAGGAATGTCTGGGTTATATGGGGTTGTGGAGACCAGGGCTTTATCATCAGAGGAAGCCTCCAGGTAGCAAGCTTCAGAGAAAATAGCTGGTAAATGTTTCTCATCAGACTGAAGGCCTGTGTTGATGTTAACGCTGGCTCTTCCTGAGTTCTGAAGAGAGGAGGGATAATGAGGCTGTCCAACCCTTTGCTGTCATGGCCTGAACCAGTTTTTCAGGTTCACCTGGGAAAGCCCTTGCCGAGAGGAGGGGTCCATTCAGATGGCTGGGGGTCCTTAGAATGTTACTTTTGGTTCACACCCAGAATAGCCCCTGCCCCTGTCCTTTGCAGCACCTGCTGCTGATCTGTCAGTGACGCTGTGACCAAGACTTATCACCCCGTGGGCCGTGGGCCGTGGGCCCCAGGAGGGCGGCACAGCTTCTGTAGGAGCACAGGGCCCAGGGAGGTGCCCTCGTCCTTGGCTGGAAGGCCGAGGCCTGGAGGAGTCTGGAGAAAGGGTCTCCCTTGTCTGGCCTTGCGCTGTGAGGTTGGGGAGGTGGGAGAGGCATAATCTGGGGCCTGAGGACGTTTCAGCCCTCAGCCCGGGGTGGCTGAGATATGGCCCTGGGCAGGCTCTGTCCTTCAGAGGTGGAAAGAAGGACAAAGGGAGAGGGAGGTGCAGGTCGCTCAGGGAGGAGACTCAGATCTGCCCAGTCCCGGGGCCCTCACTGGCTCCAGGAAACCCGCTGGTGTTGACTGTGGGCAGTCCAGCCTCTCCCCAGCTGCGGTCATATAAAGCCACTCAAGGCCCTCTCCACCGCTGCCCACCCGTGACCATGAAGGCTGTGCTGCTTGCCCTGTTGATGGCAGGCTTGGCCCTGCAGCCAGGTGAGGCCCTGGCTGGCCCCCAGCAGGGAAGGGAGCAGGGGTGAGCCGGGGAGGCCAGAGGGATACCTGCAGGGCACATGGAGAGGAGGGGGGGGGAGGAGGAAGGAGGAAGGGGGAAGGGGATGAAGCTTTCGCCCTAGCCTCCATTCCTCCAAGGCAGCTCTTGGCACGACCAGGCAGCGACCTGTTCCCTGCCATCCCCTGTGACCAGGGCTTGCAGGGCCAGCAAGGAGTCACTCTCCTTCACGACCGTGGGGCAGGGCCTGGCTCCTAGGGGGCAGATAGACAGACTGACGGACGGATGGACAGAGATGCTGATGAGGAGCCGGGAGGCACAGGGCAGGAAGCCTCAGGCTAAGAAGTGCTTTTGAGGGCACAAAAGGGGGGTGCTGGGGGTGTCCTGCGAGGACCCGGGGGGTCTACATCCAGCCCAGTCCCAGCACTGCAGCTTCCGAGGGTCCCAGGGAGCTGCTGGCCTGCGCTGCTCTGCTTGGGGTAGGACCCTCCCGACCCAGGGTCCTGGGTCAGTCACCCCCACAGCCGCAGCTTCCTCTTCTGGAACGCGAGGTCACAAAAACAGCCACCGAGGGATTAAACAGGGCAGCGTTGCAGAGGCACTGAGGAGGGGGCCCTGAAGATGGGGAGGAGATATTGAGGGTGAGGAGCACTGAGGACAGTGCTGGGCACCTGCCTACACAGGCAGGTGCGGTTGTTTTGGAGGAGGAGACAGTGGCTATGAGCACCTAGCAGCAGGGCCACCACCCCAGGGGCAGAGCGAGAGCTGACGCGGGAGGCCTGAGAGGGGCTGAGAGGCCGGGCTGCTGGGGACAAGGCCAGGTGGGCCTCCATGGCGGTGGCCTGAGGAAGTCCTGGAAAAGCGTCATCCACCTGTCCAGCCGGGCCCCTGCCAGGTGAGGCGAGCCCCTTCTCTCTTAAGAGCATGGGCGTTTTAACAAAGCTTTACCCTCGCAAGCAGGGGGCTGGGGCACACATGGCAGCTGCCGGGCACCGTGGCAGGAGGCGTGCAGAAAAGCAGTCCTGGGGGAGTGTGGAGAAGTTCGTGCCCCTGCAGAGGACTGTCCCAGCACAGACTGTGCTCTCTCCGGAAGGGCCCGGATCTTGCTCTCTGCCCTGCCCTCTGCACTGCAGAGAAGATGAGGCAGGCAGGCCCCTGCCCAGGAGCCACCATTTCTGGGGAGTGCTATGGGGCAGCCTCTGAGGCCCCTCCCACTCCACCCCACAGGCACTGCCCTGTTGTGCTACTCCTGCAAGGCCCAGGTGAGCAACGAGGACTGCCTGAATGTGGAGAACTGCACGCAGCCGGAGGAGCAGTGCTGGACCGAGCGCATCCGTGAGTGGGGAGACGAAAGTCGCCAGGCCTAGGTCTCTGCCACTGAACTATTCATCCTTCTGGCCATCTGCCCACACCTATGTGCTGTTTTCCTTCCACCCATCCCTCACCCGTCCCACACCTGCCCCCCAACAATCACCCAGCATTTGTCCCTCCAGCCATCCTCCTCTATCTGCCACTCCTCCACCCGTCTGTCCCTCCCCATCCTCCATCTGCCACTCCTCCACCCATCTGTCCCTCCCCATCCTCCATCTGCCACTCCTCCACCCGTCTGTCCCTCCTCATCCTCCATCTGCCACTCCTCCACCCATCTGTCCCTCCCCATCCTCCATCTGCCACTCCTCCACCCGTCTGTCCCTCCCCATCCTCCATCTGCCACTCCTCCACCCATCTGTCCCTCCCCATCCTCCATCTGCCACTCCTCCACCCATCTGTCCCTTCTTATCCTCCATCTGCCACTCCTCCACCCTTCTGTCCTTCCCCATCCCTGTCCTTGCTCACTCATTCACACCATTGCTGATGTTCAGTGGGTGGTCCACTTGACTTGGGCATCTGGATAGGGCTGAGACTAGGCCCTTGCACTGCTTGCAATCTTGAGGCCAGCCCAGGGGGACTCTAGAGCTTCAGGCAGGGTGGGGACAGGAGGAGGCCTGGGACAGGTCAGGCGGGTGAGCATGCAGGGCAGCCCCATCCCTGGGTCCCGCTGCTCCCCAGGCGCCGTGGGCCTCCTGACCGTCATCAGCAAAGGCTGCAGCTCAAACTGCGTGGATGACTCACAGGACTACTACGTGGGCAAGAAGAACATCACCTGCTGTGACACCGACTTGTGCAACGCCAGCGGGGCCCATGCCCTGCAGCCGGCTGCTGCCATCCTGGCACTGCTCCCTGCACTCAGCCTGCTGCTTTGGGGCCCCAGACAGCTGTAGGCTTCCGGGGGCCCTGCTGCAGCCCACACTGGGTGTGGTGCCCCAGGTCCCCGTGCCACTCCTCATACACCCGGCCCAGTGGGAGCCTGTCCTGGTTCCTGAGGCACGTCCTAACACAGGTCTGACCATGTCCCTCTGTGCCTCTGCCCTCCACCCTGACCCTCCCATGGCCCTCTCCAGGACTCCCACCCGGCAGATCGGCTCTAGTGACACAGATCGGCCTGCAGACGGCCCCTCCAACCCTCTCTGCTGCTGTTTCCATGGCCCAGCATTCTCCACCCTTAACCCTGTGCTCAGGCACCTCTTCCTCCAGGAAGCCTTCCCTGCCTACCCCATCTATGACCTGAGCCAGGTCCATGGTGTCCCCCACACCCAGCAGGGGACGGGCACTCAGGAGGGCCCAGCAAAGGCTGAGATGAAGTGGACTGAGTAGAACTGGAGGACGGGGGTAGCATGAGTTCCTGGGAGGCTCCAGAGATGGGGCCTGGAGGCCTGAAGGGAGGGGCCAGACCTCACATTCATGGGGCTCCCTGAACAGCAGCCTCAGCACAGCGTAGGCCCTTAATAAACACCTGTTGAATAAGCCAGAGAGACCTTCTGTCCTTGCACACCCCAGGTGGGGACGGGATCCGGGGCTGTGTCTGGTCCAGGGCCCTGGTCATATGGGCTGCAGCCTCTGCCCTGACAGGAGCAAAGCTTGGCCCCGAAAGGAGGACGTCCCTGCAGAGGGTGGGAGGGCAGTTCCCAGGACTTGCACTTGCTGTGTTGCCTGAAGCATGTGGCCAGAACTCTCTGAGCCTTCCGGCCCATCTATGACCCCTCCCTGCTGGGAGGATGGACCCAGAAAGTTCACAGGAAGGAGAGGGTTCCGAGGGGAGGGGCTACTACCATTCACGCTCCCACTCGTCCTTTTGGCCTCATTTGAGCACCCCCATTTTTCAAAATTTGTTTTAGCGCTACATACCCACCATACAGCATCCAAACACTACAGCAGGGTCCCCAGTGACAGGTGGCCTCCCCCAACCCTGAACCCCAGCCTCTTCCCTCTCTGGAGTGCCGGGGGCTTCTTTCTGGGAGAACCTGTGCCCCGCCATCATCCCCAGGCACCTGAGTGGGAGGACGCCATCCACACTTGCCTCCTGCACTCAGGAGAAGCCTTTGGCACACAGCCTGCCTCCTGCCCTAGGGCTGGGGGTGCAGTCTGTGACCTGAGTGGGGACCTGCTCAGGGTGGGGCCTCCTGTTAGGGGTAGGGCTCAGGGGGATTTTCAGAGAAGAGGAGACAGAGGCTTAGGAAAGGGAACAGGTCTGTTGCCCACATCCCATACAGAGCCAGGACTGGAACTCTGGGGGTGGGTCATGGAGCAGCCAGTGGGCAGAGCTGTGCTGGAAAGAGCCCTCCCGTCTGACATGTGACTTCACGGGGAGACCTCCCTCCTGAACACCGCGGGCCCAGGGTGGCACTGTCAGCAGGGTGCAGCTCCCCAGGCCAGCATCTGAGTGACCTTGGGCACTGGTCACACCCTCCCCACCTCGCCTACACCCAGCCCAGCCTGCCGGGCTTCCATGGTGAGCTCTGGGCTTCAGCCTGCCCGACATCCACCCACCCTCCCGGGCCCAAGGCACCCTCAGACCTGCCTTGGCCCGGGGCCGAGTCCAGAGTCGAGGGCTAGGCCATTGTTTTCCAGGAGGACCCTGCAGACCTGCACAGAACTTTGCAGCTCTCAGGGCTCTGGTGCAGGAACTGGGGCCCTAGGCTCAGGCATGTGCTGCTGGCCACACTGTGTCTCCTGAAGCTGCCAGCCTGGGCTTGCTGACCTGCTCTGGGGAGCATCCAGGACGCTGGGTGAGGGAGGCTGGTGCCCTGCTCGGCTCCCTCCATTCAGCACATAGTTATCGAGCCCCTGCTATGGTCTATGTGCTGTTCCACGTGCTCCTAATCACCCTGGTGATAAGAACTAGGAGAAAAAAGCAAGGAAAGAGGATCAAGAATGCTGGGATGGCCAGGGAGGATGGAGGCCTGCAGTGCAGAGGCAGATGCCTCAGTGATAAGAGCGCCGGTCCTCACTGAGCAGGACTCAGCCCACTCCAGTGCCCACACAGTAGCCCCTATCCCCTGGTCCTTCTCCCTGGGGCTTAGGTTCAGAGACACAAGGCAGCATGCTTCAGGGCTGGGGCCCATCCACATCGGGCTGGAGGTGTCCAGGACGGAGCAAGACAGGACCCTCACACTCTGTTCCCCAGACTTCCTTGCATTGGAATGCCTTGGGCCAGGTGAGGAGAAGAAGGGCAAGGACGCGGGAGGCCTCGCTGGGCTCTTGATGCCGGGGCCAACCTGAAACCTGTGGCCCCCTTCGACCTCCTGAGCTGTCCCTCAGGTCACAGGGCCTCTGAGCTAAGGGCCTGTGAGGATGCACAGCCCTGCCCCTCCCTCACACCACCACGATGGGGCAGGAGCCTGCTCTGGCCACATGGCTTATGGGGGACAGAGGTCCTCCCCATCCTGCTGCCTCCTCGAAGGACAGACGGCTGACCTCTCCAAGGGCAAGGACCAGCCAGGAGGGCCACCTGTACCAACAGTGCAGGCCGCAGCCCTGGTGCACTCAGGCTCCAGAGGTCACCTATTCGCTCAGGGCCCCACAGCTCCATCTGGACTGGAACCCGCACCTCCCAGTCTTCCCACTTTGCCTCATCTTTAGAAATGATAGAAAAGCGGCCGGGCGCGGTGGCTCAAGCCTGTAATCCCAGCACTTTGGGAGGCCGAGGCGGGTGGATCACGAGGTCAGGAGATCGAGACCATCCTGGCTAACATACTAAAAAAAAATACAAAAAACTAGCTGGGCGTGGTGGCGGGCGCCTGTAGTCCCAGCTACTCGGAGGCTGAGGCGGGAGAATGGCGTGAAACCGGGAGGCGGAGCTTGCAGTGAGCCGAGATCGCGCCACTGCACTCCAGCCTGGGTGACAGAGCAAGACTCCATCTCAAAAAAAAAAAAAAAAAAAAAACTTCCCAGAAATGATAGAAAAGCAAAAAAGAAAAAAGTGCAGAGCTCGAATCCCTAAACCCTAGCGTAATACCTGCCAGCATTTCATAGCCTTTGGGATGTTTCCTATTGTTGTAATCTAGAAGACACAAGTTTACCAAGAAGATAAACAAGCAAGGACCAACAATTAGTGATAACAAGATAGCTAACAAAGTTCCTAGGAAGGGCAGAACCAAGTGAGACTCAGGAAGGCGCTTTTAAAGGTTGATCAGATATAGTTGAGATCAGAACCTCGGTTATATTTATGCAACCGGGCAGCTTGCTCATATATTTTACAAGCATTTTTTTCTATTTGACCTGAGGTGTTAACTCAGGTATTAACTCAGCGTTAATAAACTCAACAGGTTTTATTGATTATAGTGCACATGTCCCCTTGTTCAAGCAATAATTAATCTCATGCTAATGTATCATCCATTATTATATCTGTAAAGGAATCAAGAGAGAGGTTTTTTTTTTTTTTTTGAGACGGAGTCTCGCTCTGTCGCCCAGGCTGGAGTGCAGTGGCCGGATCTCAGCTCACTGCAAGCTCCGCCTCCCGGGTTCGGGCCATTCTCCTGTCTCAGCCTCCTGAGTAGCTGGGACTACAGGCGCCCGCCACCTCGCCCGGCTAGTTTTTTGTATTTTTTAGTAGAGACGGGGTTTCACCGTGTTAGCCAGGATGGTCTCGATCTCCTGACCTAGTGATCCGCCCGTCTCGGCCTCCCAAAGTGCTGGGATTACAGGCTTGAGCCACCGCGCCCGGCCCGAGAGTTTTAATGTATCTAAGTGTCTCCTGTTTTATGAGACAGTGTATAGAATGAAGAAGTAAAGTTTTGAAGAGTTGCTTCAGGATAGGCAAATTTTCCCCATGGGGTCAGTAAGCCAATGGCAGTCTCAACCCCAGCCAATATAAGGCGGATTGCCCGCTTAGCTCTCAGGTAAGTGATGTTATATAATTGTATACCATAGGGCTTTGCTGGTCTTGTTGTACACTGACCCCTGAACCAAATGTTATCAATACACTGGTAACCATTGGGTTCATGATCCCAAATGAGAGACAATCTATTTATGCCTGGTTGAATAGGTGACCACATGGCCATAGGTATCCACTGGGGGTGCAAATCTATATGGATGGGAGCTGTTAAGGAGGCTGAGTAGGAGGCACTAAGGATGTTAGTCATCTGTTTATTTCCAAAACAACAGCTTTAGGTATTGTAAAAGTTCACAAGTGTAGGCCATGGCGTCTTTCTCAGGTGCCTGTGGGGACTCATAAGAAACAAGCTTAATCTTGGACAGGTGTACAAGAAGCCAAGTAAATTTGTTTTTCAAAAATTATAAAATTTTAATCTTGATCATAAGATACAACTTCCATAAGCCTTTCATAACCTTTACAATCTTTATATAGGAGTCAGTTAATACTTCAAGAAAACCTTGTTAATTTGACTCAGGGGCCCATATGCTGGTCTTGCTTCAGTGTGCCTTCAACATTAATGATTAATTTATAGAGAAACTGACTTATTTTATCTTTAAAATCAGCCCTTACAATCTCATGCACCCACCTCTACCGAGGTAGTCCATGGGCCCTGAGGAGTTGAATAGCTTTAATTTCTGTCCCTGTGTTTCAGGAATGCAATTGATTTTGATTGGCATCTTCTACTGGGCCCAAAGATGGGGTTTTAATTGTTGTCAGTGTTTAAAAATTGAGCAGGACTTGGTGTCCTTTTCAGACCCAGCAGTCAAAGCCCTGTAATTCAATGTCACAAGAACTTTAAAAGCACATACAGGAAGATACACAGATGTAATAACTTTAATTAAAAAAATTAAATATCGGCCAGGTGTGGTGGCTCATGCCTGTAATCCCAGTACTTTGGGAGGTTGAGGCGGGCAGATCATGAGGTCAAGACCAGCCTTGTCAATATGGTGAAACCCATCTCTATTAATAATACAAAAATTAGCTGGGCATGGTGGTGTGCCCCTGTAGTCCCAGCTACTCGGGAGACTGAGGCAGAAGAATCGCTTGAACCTAAGAGGTGGAGGCTGTAGTGAGCCGAGATCACGCCATTGCACTCCAGCCTGGGCAACAGAGTGAGACTCTATCTCAAACAAAAACAAAAAATCATCCTTTTCCTAAGCAAACCAAATCTGATAATAATGGCATAGGAATTATTTCAATAAAATGTTACATCTGTGAGGTCATTTACCAAAAGGCAAAAGAAAAGACCGTCTGCAGTGCACATAATGTTATGTTGGAAGAAAACGTTTCCTTAGACCTTTAAGAAAACATGCCTTTTAAAATGGGAGGAAAAGCCAAAAAATGGTGAGATGCAATAAAAGTTGAACTTTCAGTTAAAAAAATTAAAATCTCTTATAATTTATTAAGAGTAAATCAATCCGTTAAGAAAATTTCATTGTTCTAACCAATAATTTAGTGCATAAATGTTTTTTTACATCAAGCCCAGTCTCTAGGAAGAGCAATATAATTTCCCTTTACTTATAAACAACTTGATCATATAAAGTTTTTTGGTTTTTTTAAAAAATAAATCCTCTTACTATGACTTATACAGACCA